GAGACGCCGCCGCCCTCGAGACGACAGAAGAAACGGTATGACTCTCAGAACGCCAGCTCGCCGAGCGTGCCGGCGATGGTCAACGCGAGCTGCTCGGACACCGGTAAGTACTCCATTCTTGAAGAGTCCGGCCCGGTTTTAAACCTTGAGTTTACAGAGAAGTACGAGGAGTCCATGTCGACGATCATCCAGCGATCCGTGTCGGAACGGTCGCGGGAGAAGTGTCTTCGTCTGCGGAGCGACGGACACCCCGTGATCGAGTGTCCTCATCGCGCCGCTCGGCGAATACGGGAGTGCAGGCACACCGAATCGAAGCTTCGGCAGCAGGCCCGGTTGGAGTACGTGCAGAGCACGCCGAACGTGGCCACCATTCACAACAGCAAATTCGCGAGCGCGAATCCGCGAGGCGGAGGCGGAGGCGTCGGAGGAAATGGAGGAGGAAATGCGAACGGATCCAGGGTGGGATCTGTTGCCACCAGCTCGGACGTGGTCGGTGGCTCGACGGTGAACGTCTCCAAGATGTACAGTGCCGTGTCGGACGGTGAACTGCTGGATCTGGCGATCTTGCCGATATTCCAGAAGCTGCTCACCGAAAGGCACAAGAGCTCGAGGGGCGGATACGGCGCCAGCGTAGCCAGCTGTCCGAATATATCGATCAAATGCGACATCGTTGAATACCTTTAACGATCTTCCGGCAATTAGTTTTCAATTTCACGCGAATAAACGAACCGTTCTCTCTCTTTCTCTCTACCGGGCTCTAATCGTCTCTCGTGGAACGGACTCGACGGTTTACGATTATAACGGCGTACTTTCTTCTACTCCTCCCTCCTTTGTTCCCGATCTATCGATTATCGTAACCCTTCGATATTTCCTTCGTAAACCGCGATCGGTCGATTCGCCGTGTAATCTCCGACATCGTGGCTAAACGTTCCAACGAGATCTCGCGAGGATAAACAATTTTTTATACGATCGAACTTTTAATCCAACGCGTGCTCGTACGTACGAAAAGTTATACATACGAGACTGAACGAGGATGCCTCGTGCGATTACCCATCGAGAATTTTCGTGCACGAACACCGGTTGCTAGAAAAATCCCGACAAGGAACCGAATGCTATTCTTTGGCCATTTTTTTCTTGCTTTCTCCTCGCTCGATCCTCGCTCGACCGTCGACGTTTTATCGACGCATTGTTCCAACGCGGAACAATTGTTCTCTTTTTTCCCAACGAACGAGAAGGAAAACGCATCGATCAGGGATATCGAATCGAAACGTAGAGTATATAGCGTATGCATCCAATGTAACTCTCTGTCACTGTAAGCGTAATCCTTTCGAATGATTCGATAGTTTGCGAAATATCTAGCGGATGTCGTACGATACGAAGATCGAAGCGTTTTATAGAACATTTTTTACGTTCTGGTCTCGAGAGGGAAATGCGTCTCCTGTTGTCTGAAATCAGCTTTTTTCGTTGTAAGTCCTCTTCGTTGACCTTCGTAAATCTTCGTTGTCGTATGGATTTCGAAGTTGCGAAATTTTGAACGATCGAACGTTGCGATCCTTTTCGTTCCGTGCGCACTTTTTTTTCAACGACGATCGAGAAGCCTACGATTAGTATTACGAGATCGAACAGGCGTCCGGATGTTTAGAAAAGCGTACTACTTATCCGAGAGCCTAATGCTCGTTACAGGATCTTTATTGTGTGGTTACGCGAGTCTTGTACATAACTCTCGAAATAAATGTCATGTTTACAGGTAACAAAATAGGCGTTTGTCGTGTAAAAAATTATACCCGTTGTTTTCTCGTCAAACGATCGGACGGATCGTTCACGGCATGGCACTGATTCCCTTCGTTTTGTATTTCCGAAGCAATACTTGTCTTTGTATCCGTGTATCGTACACGTATGCGTGTTATCGATAGTTAGCCGTTCGCGAGACGCGACGCACGAAAAATTTGACACCTTGGCAAATTTCTATTATTTATAATAACTAAGGGTCGATACTAACAGGTCAATTATATTAAATTTTATCAATAAAGTTGGTTCATTCGTTTTACCATTTTGAACTTTTTACCATTTAACGGTCGTTACGTTCGACGAAACACCGGAAATGTTTCCTACAACAGCAGCATACCTATTCATCGAAATTATGTTCCGAAAATTCGAACGGATCTGAATTAACGAACAGTACACACGCTAGCATAAAGGGTACAAAGAGGTAACGTTGCATCCTCCAAACAATTACAAGACTATCGCAATTGTAATATTTAACGTTCGTTTTCCCGCGTTCAACGCGGTGCAACGCAATTTCCTGTTAATGTAAAGTGAATAGAGTTTAATAAACCAACGATTTGATACTAACGCTCAATTAACTTACCTCACTCGATTCTTACAATTTACTATTAATACCATCGAGACGTCGAAACTGCTCCTGTCAAATATTTCATAATGTAACGATTCCTCAACTGGTTTAAAATGGCGGGAAAATACTATTATTTCGTTCCAACTAACTTACCTCACTCGATTCTCGCGATTTACTATTAATATATCATCGAAACTCGAAAAGAAACTGCTCCTGTCAAACATTTCATAATGTAACGATTCCTCAACTGGTTTTAAATGGCGGGAGAATACTATTATTTCGTGTTAATTAACTTACCTCACTCCATTCTCACGATTTACTATCAATATACCATCGAGACATTATCGAAAAGAAACTGCTTCTGTCAAACGATCGTCCTGTCAAATTTCATAATGTAACGATTCCTCAACTGGTTTAAAATGGCGGGAGAATACTATTATTTCGTTGCAATTAACTTACCTCGCTCAATTCTCACGATCTACTATTAATATACGAGACGTTATCGAAACTGCTCCTGTCAAACGTTCGTCCTGTCAAATTTCATAATGTAACGATTCCTCAACTGATTTAAAATGGCGGGAGAATACTATTATTTCGTTGCAATTAACTTACCTCGCTCAATTCTCACGATCTACTATCAATATATCATCGATACATTATCGAAAAGAAACTGCTCCTGTCAAACTTCATGATGTAACGATTCATCGATAACTGGTTTAAAATGGCGGGAGAATACTTTCGTTTCGTTAATCATAGCACAAGGTCAACGACTAACCGTAATATAATGCATAATTCGAAAACCGCATTTAAATTCGCACATAATAGCATCTTCAATTACATAACACATCTACAATAGGAATAACTACGTCGTAACAGACGTATACATGTGTTGATCTCGTAGGGAACATGTCACCACACCGGTTCACTTTTATTTCTTCCAAACGAGTAACGTCAGAGCAATTCCCACGAGTATGAAACTCGAACGATTCGCCTTTCCCTACGCCCTACGTCTTCCTGTAGCGAGGGCCATCTATGCGCGTAGATGTACTCTTTCGTGTACAACATGATGCGACGATTTTGTCGTATTCCGAGACGAGATTAGTAATTGTGTTGCAACGTGTATCTCCTTTTCTTCAAAATTTTTATTTATAGCCGTATCAGCGTGTTCGAAAGGTTAAGACGCGTTCGTGTATCTCCACCGGCCATCTCGAACGATGCGTGCGCGTGAATTGACGCGCATGTGCACGTAGATTCGCCATCCCGTGGCGTGAATTGAGCCAAACTATGCGAGCAGTAACGTTACAGCTAACGTGCGCGACACACGTCAAAATTTAGTTCGTTGATACAGTAATTAAAGCTAACAATGTTGCGATTGTTAAGAACAATTCAATTACCACGGTGCTTCTCTACTGCCGCTAGAGTGGCACCCGAGAAAAATCCATCGATTATGTACACTGGAGTAAGTACACTACTGAAAAAATATTAGTTACCCCAATCAAATTGTTACTAAAATGTGTTAGCATTTCGAATAGTCCTATCTTACTGAACTATACTCTTGTTATATTTAGACTGTATTTTCTCGATGTACGACAGTTGAACAACGCAATTTTAATTCGTCGCATTGTTTCGAGCAACGTGCTTTTATCGACGATTACCGGTCGACACGAGTTTCATGCTAATCGAAGCTAAACATTTATATCACCGAATAGAATGTTTCCTTGTCAGAATTAATTTGCACTTCATTCTTTTAATGAAAAGGGTGTTCGTTACTATTGTGTAATCATTTTTTCTACAAAATAATGACTAAAATAATATTTTATTATTCACAACCGATTGACAGATGAATTTATTAACCCCTGAGGCGTATTGCTTTTATACAAAAAGTGTATACAAGAATAATGTACTATGATAATATTGCGAAATAATTTCTCTGCAGTATATTGTCCATATACTGTACAGAGTCATAAGGAAGAAATGTCAGTTAAAATTTCGTTGCACGTACGATTCAAACACGTCCTTAACATTCCTTTCATTGCTACTTGCCATTTCAGTCCTTACCAAAACATATAGTTTTTATCTATCGAAAAGGCTATCGTTCAACCTCCTGTTGTTATCAGCTCAATGTATATAGACATACGTTGTTTATTCTTTTACATAATACCGACCACAGATGTCCCACGAAATTCAATTTTTTTACAAGTGTTACGAAAACATTTCAGATTTTTATTGATAACGAATGGCACAAATCGAAATCAGGAAAAACGTTCGCCACCGTAAATCCAGCAACCGCCGAAACGATCGCGGAAGTACAAGAAGGCGACGCAGCGGACATCAACGCAGCTGTGCATGCAGCGCAAGAGGCTTTCAAATTGAATTCGCCATGGAGAACCATGGACGCTTCTGAGCGTGGTCGGCTTCTGCATAGATTGGCCGATTTAATAGAACGTGATCGTGCTTATCTCGCGGTAAGAACGCAGTCGTGTTTGTTTTACTCTCATGATAACACCGACTAATATTTCACGCGTTTCAGTCATTGGAAACGCTGGACAATGGAAAGCCTTATTCCGCGTCGTACGAGTTCGATGTACCTGCGAGTGTAGCCACTTTACGATACTACGCTGGGTGGGCAGATAAGAATGGCGGGAAAGTGATCCCCGTAGACGGACAGTACTTTGCGTATACTCGTCACGAACCTGTTGGCGTGTGTGGACAAATTATACCATGGAATTTCCCTATACTGATGATGGCGTGGAAATTGGGACCCGCCTTAGCTACCGGTAGCAGTCTTTTTTTTGACAAGTTCTGATATTTTGAGACCCGGATAACCTTATCTCTTATTTACGAGTAGGCAACGTTATCGTTTTGAAGCCAGCGGAGCAGACGCCGTTGACTGCGTTATACGTGGCTCAGTTAACCAAAGAAGCTGGGTTCCCTAGCGGAGTGGTGAACGTCGTCCCAGGTTTCGGCAAAGCTGGAGCAGCTCTGGTCGCTCACAATGGAGTCGACAAAATTGCGTTCACAGGATCGACCGAGGTCGGAAAGCTGATACAGCAGAATTCGGTCGGCAATTTAAAGAGAACCACGTTAGAACTTGGTGGGAAGTCTCCTAACATTATCTTTAAGGATGCTGATTTGGACCATGCCGTGGAAACCGCTCACTTCGCTCTCTTCTATAATATGGTAATGAAACCTCTCGAGTGTCTAGAGAAAGATGAATTATTATATGATGTGCGTCTGACATTTAGTATTTCACATTTTTTAAATTAGGGTCAGTGCTGTTGCGCTGGCTCTAGAACCTTCGTCGAAGATTCCATCTATGACGAGTTTGTAGAAAGGAGCGCTGCACGTGCCAACTCCAGAGTCGTCGGCGATCCGTTCGACCCTAATGTAGAACAAGGTCCCCAGGTATTGTACTCACCGATGATAATTGCATCGAAAATCAAAATGAAACATTAATGTCGTAAATCTGAATCCAGATCGACGAGGAACAGGCGAACAGAATTATGTCTATGATCGAAAGCGGTAACAAAGAGGGAGCAAAGTTAGTTTCGGGTGGTAAACGACTTGGCGATAAAGGATACTTTGTCGCGCCCACGGTATTCGCTGATGTGACCGATAATATGACCATTGCCAGAGAAGAGGTGAATATAATCCTCTAGAATTTAGAAACTTCCTACATCGTCGTAAACGTTGTATTATCGATTACAGATCTTTGGACCAGTTCAACAGATTCTCAAATTCAGTAGCTTGAACGAAGTTATCAATCGCGCCAACATTACCGATTACGGATTAGCGGCTGCTGTCTTCACAAAAGATATCGACAAGGCAAATTACGTGGTTCAAGGCCTTAAGGCTGGCACCGTATGGTATGGCAACTTTGACAAATTGATTGCTAACGATTCCCATTTATATTCTTATCATTCTGCAACGCGTTTTACAGGGTTAACACGTACAACGTTTTAACGCCTCAAGTGCCGTTTGGTGGTTACAAAATGTCTGGACTCGGAAGGGAACTTGGAGAATACGGTCTTAGAGCGTACACCGAAGTTAAGAGTGTCATAGTCAAAGTTAACAAGAAAAACAGTTAAACAGTATTTCTACTATCGATTCAGCCTGTGATAAGTGTCCATATGCCACAGCTTTGTACGTCTTTTATTCGTATCAACGAACGTTAGAGATTTGTATTTAAAGTACTACCACACCGTTCGATAATATTATATATTTTTGTATAATTTGTACTGCAAGAAGAAAAGAAAATGTGATACTTTAGAATTACAGAATTTACTCCATAAATTACAAAAATATAATTAATAAATAATTTAATCTTTTGATTTGGTAATTCGTTAAGTCTCATTTTACAATCCTTACGGAATACAAGCAAAACTTACAACGGTAGTACGTCATAGTCATCGGCATAAAATTTAAGTATATTCGCACATGTGACCGCAACCCGTGGGACACTGTCGGTTACAACTAAACCACTCGTTCATGTGAACGACGTGACCTCCATGCGTACATCCTTGACACCACACGTATATCCCTCGAACAACCTGCGTGCAAAGTGTGCGCGTTCGATAACCACAGGCGAAAACGATACGAAAAATAAACGTAAGTGTCTTACCTGATGACAAACAGAGCAGAGCGCATGATGGGACGAGTGACATCGATCACAGAACCATGCTGCCCTTTGCAATGGTTTTGTACAAGTTAAACAACAAGCGTGTATTATCGTTGACTGCTGATTCAACTGTGACACGGATGGAATCCAGACCGACTGAATTATCTATCGATACACAACGATACATATCTTTTATCAAGATGACTGAGGTAAATTCTCTTTGATTAAAGTTTTATCGCTAACCTGAGTAGCAACGTTCCACAGCTTAAACCTTGCAAGCATGTCTAAATATTCTAGTATCCAATGTTCTTGGACAGCAGTTTCAATATTTAAACCTTTCCGTTTCTCTCCTAACGCGATCAGAATCGATGCAGAAGTCTGTATATCTCTGAGCGCCGCATGATGTTTTAAAGCCTCTTCGATTAAGTTCGTAGGATCCCAGAATTGCGGTTTGGGTATATTGGAAACTATTAATTGACTTGGCTGATCCTCGATCATTAACGAAGCACAATCTTCGTTGATATCCGGTGGGTGATTAGGGAATTGCTCCGGCGGCGGAGATCTATCTTTTATCTCGTGCCGTAATGGAAAAGCTTCTTTGGACAACGTCCAATCGTTATCGTTCGTCATGATATTATGCATATAACTGGAAGTGTATTCCATTGTCACTGGCTCGAATTCGCTTTCTCCGAATAAAAAATCTCCCTTAGATGGTCCTTTGTGATCAACAAATGCTCGCTTGTAACTGGATATTTTTTACGAGAACAACAATGTCAATACCACAAAGTACACATATTCAACGTGCTATATTGTTAAGTTATACCTAGGTAGCATAGAACCTATTGAATGTTGATTTTCCGGCGTTTCATCAGTCTCGGTCTCATCGTCACCTCCGCTGGTTGCGCCAGTTATTTCTCCTTGTAAAGACTTCACATCATTTTCATGACCTTGAAAGATATTATGTATCTTATTAAACCGCTTTCTCACACGAAACTTCAAAAACACTTACCTGCACTCGATTGATCTATACCGGGTCCTATTGTAATCTGTGCTAAATTTAATGTATTCACTATATCTTCTTTGGAAGCAGTTGGAGGTGTTTTTAAAATAGATCCCATAGGATTGGCGTATAAAGTTTTTATGATGCTCCATACTGTACTTATCTAGTTAAAATAATATTTGTTATTAGTGGCAATCTGAACACCCATGAACATAAAGTATAATAAAGTGGAAAAGAATTATTTACATCATTTCGACCAGCATTTCTAGCAACAGTGGCATTATGATCACAAATATCGTTTAATCTTCCGGACAGCAAGTAACCTTCCGCGCAAGCTTTAAACCACTTTGGTTCTCGTGGCATATTCACGGAAAATCTATGCATAACACTAGATGCCATACAAAATGTATCATTTGTTGCAGGTGTTTTCCTATAAATAATCCTCAACTAAATTTCAATCTTTTAGTTTGATATTTCTTACGCAATTTTCCCTGTTTATATAGCAAGTTTATTAACCTCATTATGTTAGTCAATTGTTTCATTGTGGTTTGAACATTAACATTTACTTTACATGCATATGCAATATCTCCTTTTGGATTCAATGCAATACCTTGTGGATTCGCTTTACTTGCTGGTCTAGTAGCATCTTTGAACACATGATGATACAACGTGCAATCCTATATCAATAGTTTCTTATTAATGTTATACAATTGCTGGTACTTTATATCAAATATACTTGTTGCGCGATATTACCCTGCTAGTTGATAAAAACGATTGAGGATTGCCTCTCCATGCCACACCAGTTGGAACATCTTTGTGTTCATTAAAGCTTGCAAAAGGTATATATGGTCTACGGATATCCCAAACATTTATACTACAATCGACGACGAGAGCACAGCTCGATATATGGTATTTCCTTTGCGGTCTCCATTTTATTCGACCTACCGACGCTATCGTATGTATAACATAATCACAACTAGGTTTACCTAATAAATCCCAAACCTGTGTATTCAAAAAGCCTGATTTATTTAAAGTTTCTACTGTTCAACATTTTTTAAAATAAGAAATAATTCAACATAATTTAACATTATACATGAAATACCTTAATGGTTTTGTCCCTGGAAGCTGTTGCAAGCCAATTAGTTTCAGGGTGCCAATCACAAGCAAATATGGGACCACTGTGAGCAGTAAAATGTTGAAAGTAACGCTCTGGTTTACGTAAATCCCACTGTTGTACATGTCCATTTTCAGAAACAGCGGCAAAGGTATGTGGTGAATGGGGACAAAACTGTACATCGCGTACTGATTCTGTATTACTGAAATTGACAGACTTTACTAATCTGTTTTAATAATGAAACATTTGGTAACATAATTCAATATGTTTACCTATAAAAAGTTCTAGTAGCTTCTTTTATCCGTAAATCAAAACACTTCATAGTACCATCTTGTGAGCCAGATATTAGCCACATAGGTTCTGTCATATGAAAACTTACTTTATTTACTGTTCTTTTATGATCAATAAAAACATGTTCTTGCTTGGATCTAGATGATTTGTTTAAGTTCCAAACTACTACTGCACCATTCGTAGCAGCTGAGGCTAATATATGATCTGAAATTGATCAAAAGGTTGTTTTTATTCTTATTATTATTTGTTAATGTACATATTGTTATTGACTTACCATCAATCAAATTCCAAGCAATGTCATTACAAGAAAAATTTAAATTTAAATTCTTTCCTACTCGCAAGTTACAAGCTTCTTCAAATCTATCCTCTAATAACGTAAATATTTTGAAAACTGTAACCCAAAATAATAATTATTATACATGTACAAAAATTAATATTGTAGCAATCAAATAATTTACCATTACGTCCTGCTATAACAACTTGACTATTATCTTTATTAAGTGCTAATGCATTTGCTGACCCTTCCTGTGTGATGCACACAGTTTTGGAAATCATTTTGAAATCTTTCAAAGCATAACAGGTTATGATAAAGTAATCCCAAGTTTATCAACTGTAACACACATGTACATGTGAAATTAATTACTCTCTATTTAGACACTGTTTTATAATTAGTACTATGTCGTAGATCGTAAAATAATTTATTTGTATATACAAAACAAGTGTATTTAGAAATTTATTAACAATGTCAGTTCAAGGTACATCTTCACTTAGGATGTACCACTATTTTCGAAAATGCACGTATAAAAAGTACTTATAAAGGAAAAATATGATTAAATAAAAATTACACTGTACGAAAGAAGTCATTATACGGTGACAACAAACTGTTTTTAATTGAAGCCGCAAGCGCGTCACGATGGTTCTCTTTCCAATATATCGGCACGCATCACTGTATTTTCCTTTTCGTTACACATTTGCTTTTAAAATAATTAAAACGATTTACGTCTATCTTTTATAACACCGATAACAAAGGAAAATAGCTGCATATATACATAAATTAATAATTATTACGAGATATTCAAACAACAGTGAACATATCTGACTAAGGAATATATAATTTTTCTTTTTTCATCACATTCTGTTTCTGAACCAATATTCATAAACTTTTCGATATTTTTATTCTAATGACAGCTAAATTATATGTAATGAACAAACACCGCCAATAAAACACATTGTTGTTGTTAATAATCGCAACGCCATCTACATTATGCAATTTACTCATGCACTTTATATATGAGTGTGATATGGGCATCACATACACCATTACTGTACATGGCATCGATTTTTAATTCTTGATAAAAAGTTTATAAACTTTTATGATTAAAGAATGGTCAGCAATGCATTATTTACATGGTTCGATCATGAAAGTTCATAAATAATGTTCGGGTAATGAGTAATTCATTATTTTGTTGCAGCTTGCGATACGTACATGAGCTGCCTATGTCAATTCTACTGCGCATGCAAAATGCAATATTTCGGCACTTTGACGACGCAGTATGGTCATATACAAATTGTTCCTTGTCTCCTACGGAATCGAACGAATCTAATTAGAGCCTGCTAGGACCATTATTAAAGAAAATAGAAAAATAGCCCATTTCATGGACTAAAAAATTGCCGTCCATCTAGCGGCGAAAGTTGGAACTATAAAAATAGAAAATCTCGATTTTCTCGAAAACTAGGGACTTTTCCGAAATTCTGAGATATACAAATTGTTCCTTGTCGCCTACGGAATCGAACGAGTCTAATTATAGCCTGCTAGAATCATTATTAAAGAAAATAGAAAAATAGCCCATTTCATGGACTAAAAAATTGGCGTCCATCTAGCGGTGAAAGTTGGAACTACAAAAATAGAAAATCTCGATTTTC